CACAATTAACATTACTTAAATACACATTAAGGTTAAAGACGCTCAATTTTTTCATGTTCTGGGGCTATTTTTTTTTTTTTTTTTTTTTTTTTTTTCTTCTTATTCATCATTTTTTTCTCGTTTCTTCAGTGAGTTTGTTTATCCGAATTTTCGTCCAGCAATATCCGAAGGGGCGAGAGCTATAAAGATTGCGTGACGCAGCAAACAAAAACATTTGAGCACAATATGCGAGGAAGAGGAAGAAAAAACTAAGAATAATGAAAATAAATGACAAACCGAAGAAGCAATGCTCTTCTAAATATAGGTGTTTAGATTATTTATATTGTTATATTTTTTTTATTACATATATATTATTCATATATTATTAATCAAACTATTAGTTGGGTCTGAAATATATTTTTTAAGAAAAGATTCCAGAGATCATTTAATATATAATATCATAAAAGGTATAAGAATTCAACGTCATATTAGTAGTGAATAGGCGTAATAAATAATAAAAATATTAACATAAAAAAGGTCGATTTTTTTCACTAACAACTAGCCATTAGGTATTTCAGCTTGAGTTGATTTTTTTTATTATTATATTCACTTTTTCCATTATTTTTATTTTAATGCTTTTTTATTTCTTAGCTTTGATCCCCAACAGTTGTTTAAAATATTTCTCACTATGAGGTCCAAATTGTAGCTTTGCAAATAAATAATGTATATTAATCATATTAAATTTAATAATTAATTCGTTAAAATATACAAAAACACCTGTAAAGCTGTAGCTATTTAAGCCATCAAAATATAAATATATTTTAAAACCACAAAGAGTCCTTTCTAACTTGTTATACCCTCTACAAGAGTATACATATGAAAAGGAAAAAAAAAAACAACAAAGTGAAAACTGCCAAAACTTGGAAACGAATCGAAAAGCGACGACAACGACAAAGTCGACGACGACGATGATGACGCGTTGCGACGTTTGCGGAAGGGCAATGAAAATAAACACAGTAATTAAGTTAATGAGCATTTTGAGATTTATTATTAATTTTCTGTGTGCAACGGCCCCAACAGCCCCCATAGTCCCCACAGCCCCCCGCATGAAGCGAATCATTTCGAATTTTTCGTGGTTATTTATTATAATTGTTGGCGCTTCGTAATTGTTGTTGTTGTTTCTGATTTGCATTTAAAATGCGCAAATTCGCGTTAATTCTCATGAATTTTTTTCTGCTTTTGTTGCCCAATAATTGTTTTATATTTGCCAAAAAACACAGGATACAGCGCCTTAATTGATATTTAAATGCTTGCAAATTGTTTTAAATGGTTGCCTTCTTGAGTCCTTTCATTAGTTTGCGACCGAACTTCGCAAATTGTTTTTTAATTTATGACGGGCCATAAAAAAACCAAATCTGTGCCGAGACACATTAACATTTTGCCATTGTCATTGCTGTGATTATGGCATCATATGAGGCCACAGGCTCGCTCTATGACTCCATGCCCTGCCTGGCCCCATGCCGCCCATTAGGTATTTATTCTCGGGACGCAGTCGTGCTTACATTTTACGATATCACATTAAAGTTTATAACCCAGGAAAAGGGAGAATGAAAACAGGAACACGACACAACAAAATGCTAAAATGTAAATAAATCGCAATTGCTGGGGCAGACTCGGTAAACGCTTTGTGAGCTAAGTCTGAACCGTTTAAATTACATTTCGATAGATAGGCAGGTGTTGGGTAAGTGAATGATATCATAGATTCGATCTTATTTATTAGTCATCTTATACATTAGCTATAAAATATTAGCATATTGATACTATATAGATATGAGCTCTCCAGTAACTGGAGAAATCTCGTTTTAATAAGTCACAGAAGAGACTTTAGTTGAAAAATTCTTGGAGAAGAGTCTGGTATTTTTATAAAAAATATATTTATATCAGAAAATTTTTTTTACCTACATCTAGAACATTTTTA